ATCTAATGACTCTTTTTTCCTGTTGTTGAAGCCGTTGGTGAGAACAGATTGCTCCTCTGAGCCCCTCCCACCTCCAAAGCACCAACAGGTGGTCGCTCTCAGCCTGTAGACTGAGCAGAAAGAAGAATGACTTCAGTGTGTTTTAACTATAAAAATTTGTTTCATATGTACAAAGCTTCCAGTGATCCATCACCCAATTACAAAGTAGGATGTTAATATAATGTAAACATAATGTTTTGGGTTTTTTCTGTTGTACTAGAACAGATTTCTCCCTGCATTTCAGTCACACTCAGCCTCTGTCCTGCATTCACCTCATCCACTGTGTGGATGCGGTTGATACTCAGCTGTGACTCGGCTAAATAATATTTTTAATCTTTGTACTCAGCTACAGCTCCAACTGTTTGACAAAACCACAGAGTCAGCAGCTTGTAATGTAAGTTCTTCCACTGTACAACCTGACGCTGTGATGCAATCTACCTGCTCACAGTGTACGTCTAAAAACCACACGTCTGACTCAGAGATGGCGCTGGTCGGACTCGTCAATCTGGAAGAAGAGGAATTGTCTTGTTGCACATGTGCAGTGATGGAAGTTCTGGTAAATTGGCTCGTAGCTTTGCTTCAACAGCAGGATTTACTCACCAACACCTCACAAGGGCTGACTGAATTTCAAACATGACTGATTGTCCCTCCTTACCCCCTGTATACTACACAATGCAGGACACATGATGAGGCTGAAGCCTTGTCTGAATGTCCATTCTAACCCCTAAATCCCTCCATCACTATACAGAGCGGGGACTATATAGTGAAAGAATCTCATAAAATCATTACTTCTAAGAGCAGGTGGAATGGATGGTTCAACAGAGCTATGGCTCTGGGTGAGCTTGGCAACTGTATTAAAAAGATATATAGGATTATTCTTATTCTCCTCTATTGATGAGGAGAAATATGCTGCTATTGCTTTACAAAGGGTCCGCTTATACAGCAGTAAACTGTAGGGGTGTCAACAATAATCGATTCAGCGATGCATTGCAATGCGGGGGATGCATGATTCAGCATCGAT